GTGGGGTAAAATAAGTATATTCTTAGATATTCAGAGACTGTGAGTTATTACTCATAGAGTCTCAATGAATGAGTTACAAAAGAGTTTTGAAAGAAGGAAAATGAAATTAAAAAGTAGCAGAATACAAGAAGAAATGATGAACAATGAAGTTGGTAAAATATTGGTAAATATAAATAAACATAGGCAATAAAAATTAATAACTGTGGTCATAAATAATTTCATGGATTTGAAACAAAGAAAAACTGGAATACGATTTAAAATGAGATGGATGGGAAGATAAATTATGGGCTTTCTAGATTTAAACATGAAAGTTAAAATTTTGAGGACATACTGAAACAACAGTTAAAAAAGTTATAACTTTCAAAGTAGCACAGGAAAAAAAGAATTATAATTTGATCAGGACAGTGGAAGACAGAAAAAAGAGGAAAAAATGCAAAGAGAAAATACAAAATAACACGACTGGAATAATTTCAAATACATTATCAATTTCAATAAATGTAAACATGTTAAACTTTCAGATATGATTTTTTAAATTAATGCAGTTATATGCTACATGTAAGAGACACACTTAACCAAATTTATATAAAAAGGTTCAATATAAAGAATTGGCGAAAGGTACACTGGACATGTACTAAACAAAGGAAAGATAGTATAGCAATACTAATATGAATTTACCTTTCTGTAGATTTTTTAAATGATTTTGCTCATCTAATGTAGATAATTGCCTTTATATTTCATTTGTCATTTTCTACATTTTTTCTTGACTATTAATATTGAAAACATTGATAATTTTTAGTGATTTGGTACAATCTTAAAGATACTGATAATTAAATGGTCCTAATTATTAAATATACTTCTACAGAAATGTAACTAGACTACATGTTATCTTCATCAATGAGCAGAAGCCAAAACCTATTCAGTTAGTGTCCCAAGCCCCCAAATGGCATTTCTATTACAAGATAGTTTCTCAAGAATTAGCTGATAAATGAAATTTATAATGGTCCTTCCTAATTTACAAAGCTCTTTTACATTCATTATTTTTTTTCTTTTTTGAGTTGAGGTATATTTGGCATATAACATATTAGTTTCAAGTGTACATGTGTTGATATTTAGATATACTGTGAAACGATCACTGCAATAAGTCTAGTTAACATCCATTACCATACATAGTTACACATTTTTCTTGTAATGAGAACTTTTAAGATCTACTCTCAGTAAATTTCAAATATACAGTACAGTATTATTAACTATAGCCACCATGCTTTACATTATATCCCCACGACTTACTTATTTTATTACTGGAAGTTTGTACTTTTTGAACCCTTTCATCTATTTTGCCCACTCCCCACCCCTGCCTCTGGTAATCACCAATCTTTTCTCTGTATCTCTAAGCTCAAGGTTTTTGTTTGTTTGTTTGTTTGTTTGTTTGTTTGTTTGTTTTAAGATTCCACATGTAAGTGAGATCATGCAGTATTTGTCTTTCTCTTCCTGGCTTATTTTACGTAACATAATGCCCTTAAGGTCTGCCCAATGTTATTGGAAATGCAAGATTTAATTGTTTTATGACTGAATAATATTCCATTATATGTATGTATATCATTTATACATATCCATTCATCCATCAAACTAAGTGAACACTTAGTTTGTTTCCATGTCTTGGCTATTGTAAATAATACTACAATGGACATGGTGGTGCATATATCTTTTAGAGTTAGTATATTTGTTTTCTTTGGATAAATACTCAGAAGTGGAATTTCTAGATCATACAGTAGTTCTATTTTTACATTTTTTAGGACCCTCTACACTGTTTTCTATAGCAGCTACACTAATTTACATTCCCACCAACAGTGCACAGGGGTTCCTTTTTCCCCACATCTTCATCAACACTTGTAAATTCTTGTCTTTTTAATAAAAGCCATTCTAACAGCTGTGAGGTGATATCTCATTGTGGTTTTGATTTGCATTTTCCTTAATTAGTGATGCTGAGCATCTTTTCATGGATCTGTTAGCCATATGCATGTCTTTTTTTGAAAAATGTCTTTTCAGATCCTCTGCCCATTTTTTAATCAGATTGTTTGATTTTTTTTACTATTGAGTTGAATGAGTTCTTTATGTATTTTGGATATTAATCCCTTATAGGATATGTGATTTGCAATTATTTTCTCCTATTCAGCAGGTTACTTTTTCATCTTGTTGATGGTTTACTTTTCTGTGCACAAACTTTTTAGTTTGATGTAGTCTCACTTGTGTATTATATTGCAATTTTAATTAATTAATTAGATTTATATGTGTTAACATGGTTACTAATGTATTCCCAGATATGTTTCATGATAGTTTTGGAAATTACTATGTCTGTAAACTGAAAAGTCACTCATTTATGAGTATATAATTTGTGCAAATGGTTTGGTTGTGCTGGGTTGTTTGAAGGCTACAAAATTTAACATCTTATCCTTTATATCTGGTAACTTAGATAAGTAGATAAAACATACATTGAAAGCTAACAATAAACAATAACAGTACTATTGAGATCAAAAGACATTATAGGTAGCCTCTGACTTATGCAATCCTTTAAAAAGTCTGTTATCTACTTGCTGCTAATTATAGACCTGATCAATAACTGAAATACCCTGTTCTTTCCTAGTCTTGTAGACCTTGCTCCAGGGTGGAGTCAGTGGAAGCAAGAGGGGAAAAGTCTCTTCTCCCTCACCCATGTTCCATACACCCCTACCTATTAGTCTTATCTACATTATAAAATGCTCAGAGTAGATTTTATGAAGAAAAAAATCACTGCCTATATACATGCATTTATACAGTGTCTTTTTATATCTCACAACCTAAATGTGGTCTTCCCCTGGTTTTTTTCCTCATTAGAATATAAATCAGTTCTCACCAGAAATAAGGGTAAAATGAATCATTAAAATAACAGTGATTATAATTACAATATGTAATCATATATATACACAAAAGTATAATTTTCTGGGTTATTAACCTATATCTTAGTTATGCCTTGGACTTAAAAACATAATGTGTTTCATATGGTAATTTAGTAGTATTCAAGCTTAAAAATAAAAGAATTCTAGTTCATGATTTTCCATCTTACCCAAATTCTAAATATATTTTATCTTCTTCCTAATTATTACCTTTGAAATCTTGCTGGTCACAATGAGTGCCTGCAAATATTTCTTGTATTGAATTTACACCCATTTATATTAATTATGGACATATAATTGGGATAGGTAATTACAATCCCAAGTTACTAAATTAAAAAAAACAAAGCATGATTTTTCAGAGGAATTCTTCATATAAACATTTATATCTTGCCAGTTCTTAATATTAACACTCAAATAAGAAAACAGGCATAGAAAACATTCCAACTTGTTCCTGGCAGGGTCAATCATAGGATATTTTTTCCTATAAGCTAAATATAATTACTTAATTTTTAAAAATTGGAATAACCTCTTACTTGTTCTTTGCATGCTATATTTTACAACACATCGATGAGGAACACTCAGTATAACTTAGGTCATTGTAATAGCTACTTTTCACTGGTCTATATTATTTTATTAGTTTTTGGAAGGGAGATTTATTTCTAGAAGATAAAAAGATTAAATCATTGCCCAATCTTCAGTTTAGTCTTATTAGCTTTGACTTTTTCTCTTGGCTTTGGTCGATTCCTTTCATTTTTATGTGTGATTAAATGTTTTATTATTTTTGTTATTAAACATGATTATAGGAAATTAAGTGCATTCATCAACTGAATTTTGAGTTTAAATTGTAATATTGCAATATTTTGCATCCCCGGTGAGTAACAAGTATGTATTCAACTGCTTCATCTTTTCTTACAATTCAGTCTAGTATTTTACCTTGTAATAAATTTTCAGTAAGTCTCTTCTTAGGTTTAAGGAACCAAGAAAGTAGTCTGGGAATATGTAATAAAGTTAAGAAAGGAGAAGTAGTACATTAACCACACTGAAAACTTACTGTTGATACTCCTTGCCTCAGCAAGTTTTTGTTCGTTTGTTTGTTTTCTGTTTTCTAGTGCCAGGATGATAATGAATGCCAAAGTATAGGCAGCATGCATGGAAGCAATTCAGCAACCATGGTACACTCTTAAACAGAGTTGTGTCAGCTTTCCTCCGCTAGCAGAACTGACAACATGAGAGTCTTGTTCCAAAACGTAGTTTTTTTCCTGATTCTACCATATATATTCAGTTCCCCTGATATATTACTCAATTAAAATATTATTTTACAAAATTCCTTAGCATGGTATCTGGTACAAAATAGGTACTCAGTAATTATATTTTATGAATGAATGAATGTCATAATGTGTAGGAGAGAAATTATATTCTGCCTTAAAAATTAAATGTGTTAGATAAATTGTACATAAATGAATTGAACAATCAAGAATCGAAGTGATCTTTCATCTCAGTTTAATTCCCTCTTTGTTTTCCATATGCTATTTATATCTGAAAGTAGTATAATATATAATAAATTAATGGTCTTTTTGAAGGTGAGTTATATCCAAGAAAAAAGACTGTTTTGTATTTGTTCAGGTTACTATTAGCAAAGATTAACACAATTTTTTTAAGCTTAAATTTCACCAATATTGAGCAGTGGTCCCATCTCTAAAGGGTATTATTCTCATGAATTTGACTTAACTTGAATTTGTCACTGAATCTAAAGAGAATATATGTTTATTTAAGAGCATGTAGAAAATATAGAAAAAGTATAAAGAAGATAATTACAAATCTCCATAAAGCTATTAACAGAGAAAACTATCACTTTTTAATACTTTGGAGTATATTTATTTTTTAAGTGAATTTAGTTCTTTCCTTACTTTAATAAGAATTATCTTTTGGACATTCAATTTACATTTTTCTGAGTGGTTGTTTGATTTTTAAAGTTAAACTATTCCTCATTAATCTGTGCTTTTTTGAAGTGAATAATTTGACTTGGTTAGTTTATATGTCAATTGTGTCTATTCATTGTGTCTTTAACAGGTCGAGAAAGCGTAAGCACTAGTATGCAGGGGAAAGCCAGAAAAACTATAAGTCATGGGTGGGAAAGTCAGCTGTGGAGAGAGAAAAAGTTTGGCTTAGTAGATCACCTACACTACAGCTCTGTTTATCCTGAAAGTATTCCACGGAAATTTACTGTCGAACACAAAAGTTTTCTTATTCAGCAGTATAATTCTCAGCCTGCAAAATACATACCACCAGAAGAAAGGGCCCCCAAACTTAATGATTTTAAAAGTGCCCGAAGCCTTGGACATTTTGAAGTAACCATCCTAGGTAAGTCATCTGTTCTTCTCTTTGAATATTGTGAATTTAGCATATTTTAAATATAGATGGTAATATTTTGATTCAAAAAATAAGCACCCCCACAACACACACACACACACACACACACACACACACACACACACACACACAAATTAAGCCCAATGAGAACTCCTATTTGGCTCAAACCAAATGAATAATGTACATTAAGCTCTAATCGTGGGCTTTTGAACATTGGCAAGTCCTCAGAAAGTATATGAGGAGAAAAGATTGGGAATCTAGGGAACTTTCCTCACCTCTGTCTGACTGCTGCTGAAACTGATTCTGTTCCCCATTAGCCATCAGTTTCCGGCCCATATTATCTGCCTCTTTTTCAGAGCACCTGAACCATTGAAAGGTAAAATATAGGTTAAAGAGGAAAGGGTGCTAAGCAAGAGAAGCTCCTATGAACAGAGACCTGTTTAGCCCTGAAGAAAATAAAATTCTCAGGTAACTCAGGTTGAACAGAAAGAAGCCACTGAATAAACTTCTCATGTCTGATAAGGGAAAATGAGCTGATTTTCTCAAGTTGTTCAAAAGCTAGAAGTAGCTAATGAACTTACAGAAATTTAAAGGAGTCAACACATTTTTAAACATATTTATTTTTAAATTTGTTTTTAATGAGGGAATGTACACAAAAAATAATTTTAACATAAAATTTTAGCCAAAATGAGCTAATCTCAAAGTCAAGGGAAAAAATTTTATTTGTATTTGTGTTTTAAAGGAAGGTCTCATTGTTTTAAAATGGAAGAATGAGGAAAAATCATTTGTAAATTAATTTAATGCCTGAAAGAAAATGCAGTTTATAGATTTTTATATCTAGACTACTGGAATGAATTACCTTGACCTCTATCAAGATTCCTTTTTCCCCTTTACTCTCTTCTACTCCCACTTTCCTACCCCCTTACACATAAATATGTACATATATGTGATTGTGTATATGTGTATAATCTATGAAAAGTATGAATTTCCACTGACTTTGTTAGACAGCTTTAGACATAAGTTTCAAATGCTGCTTTTCAGTAGACTGCATGACTTGTTCTCTTTGAGTACTTTACCAATCTTGGTTTTATATCTTGGTTTTAATAGGAAATAAAAATTACAGCAAAGATTTCCCATATATCACAAAATGTAACCATTGAAATCATGAAATCTTCTGGAAACACAGAAGTTGAATTATATGGGAACCTGACATTTTTTTTTTTCTCTAACACAACTCTGAACTCTAGTTTTAACTAAAGAACTCAAAGCAAATGTTATTAATAATGTTGAATATAAATCACCTTATTTTACAATTTAGAAAGCAACTCAAAAATTACCATCAATGACATGCTGACAATAAACCTTCCTGAAAATATCAGGATTTTCAGCTTCCGATATTTTCTCAATTCTAAGGCATACTTTTTTTTTTTTCACATTTACAAGTTGGAATGCATCTTATGGTCAGTGGGTACATTTAATGCAGTGTTTCCTTTTTATTAAAACAAACTTATTCAGTAGATTATATATCTTAGCATTAAATTTAGTCTTGGAATCAAGGAAATAAGATACCAGAATGTACACATTCACATGAGTTTTGCAGCATTGTTAAAATTCATTGGATAACTACACTTGCTATAATACTGAGTTGAAATACTCCATAAATTCTAGATATCATGACTATTTTAGTTTATGAATACCAAATTTTAATAATCTTTAGAAATCTTTAAGTAGCTTTTAGTTGTATGTTACATTAAAGCTATGGAATTTAGTATCATTTGCCCATAAAAAGGAAAGAATGAGCTTGCGTTTCTGAATTAGTTTACAGCTCTACAGGAAGGACTTTGCTTACCCATAATTGGCCCATACTCAGTACTTAAGAATTGCTGTAGGGATGAATAGGAAAGATATTAAGGTCCTGGAATCTGTAGGACACGGTTAACAATGTCAGAGAAGAACAAAAGGGAGGAGTTAAAGATAGCTCTCAGGTTTCTGGTTTGGGTGACTGGGTAGAATTCATAGAGTTTTAAATCTTTGCTCTTTGTGTTTATCCTTGTTCCAGCCACAATGGGCTCCTTACTCTGGTCGTTACTTTCGGCTATTCCCTGAAATACCCTCCTGTTTTTTTAAATTCTACTCAGCCTTTAGTACCCAGCCCAAACCCTTGCCTTTTATCCAACTTATCTGACATTGACCGAAATAAAGAGATGACAGTCATAGGTCAGGATTCACTTTGGTTATTTCCCAATAGCCCCTTTTCTATTGCAGCTTTTAATAGTCCTAATGGTAAGTGTTTGACACTTGTCTTGTATATTTGAGGACAGACGGAACCTAGTTACTACTATACATACTGTACCATATATATTTAAGTCCAAATGGCAATAAGGGAAGCAGTACTTCTCTGAATTCACCTATCTTGTAATGGCATCTGTCAAGAATGACCAAGAAAGCACTCTACATGTTTTCATTTATGTTTTCATTTATGACCAGGCTGTCCTCTGTATATTAAGATTTCAACTTTTCATCAGTAGGGAAAATTTTTTGGATTGTTATTTCCAGCAATAGTGATATATTGTGCTGAAGTGTCTCCTCTTTCAAACAATAGCATGTATTCATAAATGTTTGCACAGCTAAGGGTTTAGTCTGTAGTTTTGAAACACAGTTTTTTACAGATATGAAGCTTTTTGGCATATGTTAGGATCAAACCTGCAAATTTGGCCTCCTTAGCACCATGTACTAACCCACTGAACTTTTAATAAAGTGTGATTTTTCAATAACAGGTCTGAACCATGAGATAGCAATTGATGTCGCATTCCTACCCATGTATTGTTCAGAAGATATCCGAGCATCTCAAATAGACACGTTATTAACCTGCATGAATTACAGCTGTGTATATCCACAGGAAGTAAATGGTAATGAAAGGGTGCCAGGTCCAAGAGCAATTGCGGGTAAGACGATCTCATTATTCTTTTCATTCAGAAATTAAAATTAATTAATATTGTAAACAGTCTTAACCTTAAGATATTATATAAACAGTCTAACCTTAACATTTAATACAGTTTACCCATTTGGTAAACATACCCAAGACCTATAAGTGAGAATATATTTTTAAATAAAATTGAATGGATTCATGGTTTCTATTCGAGGCAAGCATTAAGAATGTTCTCTTATAATACAATTCTAAATGTAAGTATTCATTAGACCTAAGTGGTATGCATATGAGCAGTGCAGATTCTGCTATTCTCTCCTTTTAACTCAAGCAAGATAATTTGTTCTTTCACCTTATAATTGCCTGAAATTTTAATACCTCCATAGTATAATATAGTACAATTGTTTTCTCTTATAAACATTTAGTTATTCAAGTGCTATGCAATAAATTCCTTGAGGAGTGCTAAAAGTGTATGTAATCCCAATAGTGAAGCCCTTCAACCAACTAATTGTTTAGTTTTCTACATAATATACCAAATATATGTATATATATTTTATTCACTTTTAAGAAAGCCTTTATTATCTTGGGATTTTGTGGTTGGTCTTCCTATGCTGATGAAACTCTTGGGTGTATGTTGTTTTTAAACAAATCTTATGAGCTGTGCCTGATGATTAACTTTTGGCATTAATGGTTACTGCAAACTGAACATGAGTAGCTAATTTTATAAGAAAGCACGGCATAGGGAATGCAGTTAGCATTAATGTAATGACTAGGTAGAAAGCCAGAGGAGAGAAAGAGCAATTTGGAGGATCGTTTTATAAATTATATAAATGTCTAACCAATGTACTGTGTACTTGAAACTAATAAAATGATTTTTTTTAAAAAGAGATGAAGTTTGTTTCTTTTCCCGAGTCTTTTTTAGAGATGACATATTAGCTGACTTGCAGTATTACTTCTTACACTGCAGCTCCTTAGACTTCCAGAAATTCTGCATTTCTTAATTCATGCTTTAATATGTAGTTTAAATATTTGTTCACTCATGTTCTTGCTTCATACAATATTCACTTCTGTTACGTTTCTTCTGCTATATGTATATGTTATTATTAAAATAAAATATCAAGGCAAAATTCTCAGACACCTACAAGTTGTTAGTGCCATTCTACCAAAGCAGTTAACATTTGGGAGATGAAAGGCAAGAATCAGTAGAGGAGAAAAGTGATGTAATCAAAAGCAAGGTGATTCATTTTGTGTTTTTCATGACATAGCATTATTAATAATAATGGTGTCAATTTAGCTCTGTGCCAACAACTGTGCCTGAGCATTTTCATAAGTCACGACTAATCCTAATAAAAGCCTTGCAAGGTGAACATCATTATCCCCTATTTATAGATAATTAGACTGAAAATCATATTTACTAGCATGATGACAGCTAAGATTTGAACCCAGATCTGATTTAAAACTTTTTTAATTCCTTCTGTGATTCCAAACTGAGAGATAAAAATAGGTACAGAATAATGTAATGTGGTGGCTTATAAGATAACATTGGTGGTGTCATCTTTTAAACATTTTTTATGAACTAGTTTATTTTTGTTACTATGAAAATGTATATTACTCTGCTCCATTAAAAAAAATAAAAAGTAAAAATAACTAAATATGGCTTTGGAGTACCAGCCCATATCTTAACATTATTAGTAGTATCTGTTTGATGTATTCACTATTTTCTGCAGAAGTTACTATTTTCTGCAGAAGTTACTGTAACATAACTTTGATGAATGTGATGAACAGAGGGAAGAGGGAGAAGATGAAAGACAGTGTTAATATTAGAAAAAAAAATCAGCTTATATGATACTAAATCCAAGTAAATATTTAACTATTTTACAATACTTACCATATGCTTTTTACTTTTAGGTGATATTATAAAAGCAGTAACTGAGCTGGATAGAACGCATGTCGTCTGTATCTTGGATATCTGTAATTTGGGTAACAACAAGGTAGAAGTCTGTTTGCATAAAATTTACAGTCCAGATAATATTTATTAAAAATTGAAAAATGGAATTATTACAGGTTATAAAGAGGGCACTGCTTTAAAGATATTATTTTGTTGGTAATATCAATAACTTTTTTTCTGCAAAAATATCACTTAAGCTCTAAAGTTATTAAGTAGTTTTATGTTCGTCTTGTATTTGGAGCTAACACACTTCATTTTAAATTTATTACTGAAACAGCCATCAAAACAATTTTTGTCAATCAAGAAAATTTACATAACTTTGATATGATTATTATCTTGACTTGTAATAATTTATGTTCACTGTTTTATTTGTGAAGTGTACTTTTGTTATAAAGCCTCAGCATAAGGCATCCTGACTTAGAAGAGTAACTTTTTATGAACATTTAACGTCCTGCCACTTTGATTCACCTATAATGGGAAATTTTGAATTGCTAATTTGACAATTGAATTCTTCTAAAGTAGCAAACCTGCATTTCTCATAAATAAGGTAGTTTCTATTATTTTCAAAAGCACACATTAGTTGTTATGGCCCAGTTGCCCAGGTCTTTAGTTTGGTCAGCTGTACAATGTGAATGCTAAATTAAGTTGTCTTAATGGTTTTCCACTCCCTATTGTGACTTCATATCTTTTAAATTTCTAAATGTTTTGACCAGTGTGTGATCTTAAAGCCAAAAGCTACAGTATGTCTATGTTCTTGCTGTATTCATTTGTAATTTTGATACATGTAATGTGAGTTTAGTGAAATTTTATCTCAAATTAACATTTAAGTGCTCATATTCAAAGTATAAAACAGTAACTAAGGGAATTGATTTTATTCTGGTTGTCTATTTAAGTGTAAATGGCCTTTCCACATTTGCAAGGCCATATGGCTGACATCTATGTGGTTGACATCTGTGTGCGTCTATGACTATCACACGAGTTAAAAATTATTCTGTATTAAGATAAATCTGATTGTAGTAAGCTGTTAACTTGTGGAGTTTCTTTCTAGCCCTATGGTTCCGTGACTTCACATTCTATACATTTTAAATGTGTTGAGCAGCTCATGAACCTAAAGACAGATGCTACATGTTGTTCATAAATGTGTTCAGTCTTTTGTTCTTTATAAGTGTGTCTAAATGTTAATTAAAATTATAAATCCTCATGTTGAAATTTGAGTGTACTATTAAAGAAGTTAAAACAATAACTTTTTTGGTCACCCATATTATTTTGAATGGATTTGATGTCTTTTATATTTTTGGCCTATAATAGAGCTACATGTACTTGCTAAATGAACCAATATGATTCTTCCATATGGGTTGAAGAATGTTGTTTTATCAAGAAATCTGGGTTTTTTGTATTTAGCTATAATAAACTTTATAAGACAATTCAATTTTAGTGCCACATAAATATTGGGGAAGGGAAAAAAAATAATACTTAAGTGGCTATTGACTAAAACCTCAGGCTGAGATTTCAAAACTATACACTTTAGCAGGTGTAATTTCTGTTCTCATATTGAATGAGAAATATGAACATTTTTTTTTAATTTAGGGTTTTTAAAAACAAATTCTCTGGCAATTTATTTTATATTCTAGTAACATTTCTACCCAAATTTGGAGTTAAACATCTTTGTCCACATTTCTGGATGTTGCAAAATTAGATAGCTACTGTGATAGTTTCCTAAGAAAAATAGCAAACTACCATCAGAATTTATCTTTAAGTGGCAATATGTGTTCATTAATTCCAAAGCAACACAAATATACTACCGTGATGTCACCTTCATGCTAACAAGTCAGTTACTAAATTAAGAAATATTACATAGTCTACCAGAGGACCACAGTCTCTCTCTGAAGTTTCTAATTTTATATGGCACATGAGATATACACATTGAAATCCATTGGTAAGCTATTAAAAGAAGGGAAGAATCTGAGCACATGTTCTCTCTGCCATTTTTATTTCTTTGTTGGAATTATACTGCATTCATTTTACTCATATTAAGATAAGGACTTTTAAGAAACTTGAAACCTTTACTTGGTAACACTAAAATATTTGATGTTTTTAGCTAGATACCTTCTGCTAATATGGACTATAGATTATAACCAATTCTATTATTCCAAAATCATTTATATAGTTTATAATTGAGCTGGTTGCTATTTCACTGGTTACCTTTTCAGGTACATTTTCTTTCTTTCCTTCTTTCTTTCTTTCTTTCTTTCTTTCTTTCTTTCTTTCTTTCTTTCTTTCTTTCTTTCTTTCTTTCTTTTTTTTTCTTCTTTATGCATTGCTACCCAAGAATTTTCAGGTAAATTGATGGGAGATGAAATATCTATTACTGGTTCCTGTTTATTTTAATAATCAACTGCTTTTACTGAAAGAATTTTAGGAAAAATATATTAAAATTTAATAAGTAAAATAAGGTATGTGGACTATCCAAAAATTACAGTTATTTGAGATTACATTTGTGTCAAGTCATACTGTATTATATTTGTCCCAACTTTCCAAAATAGAAACATTACATATAAACTTATTTATTGGTCCAAGTCATACTACCCACTATATTATCCCTCATTCTTACTTTGTTATGTTAATAGCACTTTTAGCCCTAAGTTTTTGCTTTTCTTTATACTAAAGAAATAAAAAGTAGATTTGGGGGGTGGGGAACAGATTTAAAGCTGGCTATAGCTCCATCCCTAAATCCCTGCGGAACTTTAAGAAAAGCCACTTAAACTGCTTGACCTTAATTTCATTATTTGTAAAATTAGAAAAATAGTGGTCCCATCCAGTTCTATTATTCTTTGGTGTATTAATATGTTATTAGGACACTGAAAATGTCTTTGTATTATTTTAATGTGTTTCATGAAAATGTGATTTTCTATGAAGAACATTTTAAAGTTATGATTAGACTATTATCAATGACAGCAACTCATTGTAAAAAAAAATTTGAAATCTTTGAATCTCAGTTACTTTTACTCTAGTGTTCTTCCTAAGTTGTTGCCTGTTCAGTGACACATATATTTTTTTCAAAACAGAAATCTGAAATATTTTAACTTTTTTAATCATATGCACATTTTCATTGAAAATCAAGCAACTCTTTTTAAAGAATTCAACTACCTCTGATTCTATTCTGAAATTATTGTATTTCACCCCTAGTAGCTTAAGATCTAGATGTTGCCCCTAACAAGATTTTAATATCTATTTTGTAGAGGGAGATCTGAAATAGAAAAAGACTGAATGATTTAATGTAAAATTGCCAAGGCAATTAAGGTGTATAGTTAGGCTTACAACTCCAAAGTCCGTTTTTTTTTTTTTTCATGTCTAATTTGAGCACAAAGTAAAATGTTTGACTAATAATAAAATTTCAGTTAGTGTATCAAGTCACTGGGAGATAAACTTTTCCAAATCCTGAAGCTCATGAAAGAATGAGCTGAATTATTGCAGCATATATCCAAATATGCCCACTTGGGCAAGCACTGGGTTAGCACTAGGAGCACAATACACTACACACAAAAACAGTTATGGCGCCTATTTTCATAGAGCTTACAGTGTTGTGGAGAAGAAAGACGTTCAAATAAGTGCACAAATAAGTGATATAAGTGCCTCAAAGGAAATATATGTGGTTTATATTAGTGCTTTTTAACACAGGAAGCCTGCTCAGGGCAGGGAGGGGAGCACTGGACAAGTTTTTCCTGAGGAAATGAACTTGGGATGCAAAGGCCTTGCAGCACAAGATGTGTTTGGGGCCTTGAGAAAGAACTGACATGGCTGGAGTACAGAAAGTGGAGTACAAGATGAGACAAGCCAATAGACAAGGGCTCTTATAGACTATGCAGAACCTTGGGGCCATGGTAAGGATTTTAGTTTGTATCTTCAGAGCACTGAGAAGTCATTAAATGGTTTGTGGCCAGTACATGCCATGATTTGATTCACATTTTAGAATGGCCACTCTCTCCTGGAAGGAGAATAGATTATAAGGAGGTTTGCAGAGATTGCTAGTTATACCCTAATACCTATTCTCCTCTTCTATAGTAATAGATCTCTTAATTTTTACCCAAGCACATGGCTACCTAGGATAAAGAATACTTTTCTTTGTTTCCTCTTAACTAGATATATTGTCTCATGACTAAGTTCTGGCCAATGGGAAGTGAGCATAAGTGATATATACACTTTCTGAACTGTTCTCAAAGATTATGAGGAAATGCTCTCTTTTTTCTCCCCTTTTCGCTGGGAATGTTAGCATGGCGGTGAGACATCTTGGATTATGCAGAGGAGAACAACACTCTAGGGATGTCAACACAACCAACTAGTAGGAGTCCAGGTCTGTGATATTGTGGAGCTGCCATACCAACTTTGTACTGCTTACTTGTTTTGGCTGTCACATGAAAGAAAAATAAACTTCTATCTTGTTTATGCCATAATTAATTTGGGTCTCTGACCAGCAGTCAAAAGTATCCTACTAATGTAGGGAGCAAAAGTGAAATCAGGAGGACCGGCTAGATAACAAATGAGATCAAGAGAAGTGGATATAGTCCATGTACATTTTGTAGATAACATTATAATATAGATTTAGGCATCTTGCCTGATTCTCATGGTCAAATTCTTAACAGATTCCCACTGAAAAAAAAAAATTCTAACACAAAAATTCTTCCTTCCCAAATCACAAAGGCAATATCTTAATAACCAAGTAAAATTAAATGACTTTCAGGTATCTTTGCTGTCATATGGTCCTAGGCATATTTGAATTTTGACATCAAGTGCTTTTATAATATCAGGTCTCATTTATCATATTTTGCTTGGGGTAATATTAAGATTAATTTTTATTCCTTTTGAATATACACTAAGTTAAAGTCACCTAGCCCAAAGTTGGAAGATTGCTATGAATAATCAAAGGTACCCATATTCTATTAGAAACACAGTCCTGTGCTTCCTCTTCTTTAAATTTTGGGTTTGCCACAACTGTCATTCATTCACATGAAAAAATTTGAAATGTTCCTTACCTAAGAAATGAGTAATTTCCTTTTCTATGCATGTATCAATATTAATTACATACCTTTGCTAAGATACTTAATATTAAGGTACACACAATTGGAAAAGTCTAGTATTAAGTGTTTGAAACAGTACTATATATCAGTGGTTCTCAGACTTGGCTTCATATTGGTATCATCTGGAGAGTTATAAAATTATGCCTAGATGTCACGCCCCAAGTTTCTGTTTGGGGTATAACCTGGGCATCAAAGATAGTTAACAGCTCCCCAGGTGATTCTAATGTGCAGAGAAGTTTGAAAATTGCTGGTATATAGTACTGTTTCAAGCACTTGCTAGTTTTATTAGAGCTCAAGCTTTACCCAATACTTTGAACTTACCTCCTCAGTTTCATCTACTCTCAGTGCAGCTTCATCATGAATTGTGCTGATAGAAAGGAAAAAATAGTGGATCCTTTCTAAAAGAGCTTTCATTTTCATAGACTGCTAGCATGTCAGATCTGGAAAAGACCTGATAAATTCTAATCCCAACCTCTGTTATTGTGTAAATGACAGGAAATTCCCAGATAGGTTTTTATTTTCCCGAGGATATAATACTAGTTATTGTAGAATCGGCACTTGTGCAAGCTTCTGTTTTTTTAAGATGCTTCAAAAATGTTCAGAGCACCACCTGAAATACAAATAAACATCAAACCTTTATAGATTGGAAATTGAAACACAAAGAGGTTGAAGTAAAATGACAGCAGTTAATCTGTCAAACTTAAAAATAGATCCAGTACTATTCATCATGTACAATTTGTATGATCTAAAGTTCTTAAATTATAAAATGTATTAAGAATTACCTGGAGAGCTTATTTAACAATATGAATTCTTAGATATTTTCCTCATTCTGATTTTGGATGACTGGAGGTGGAACCTATAAATCTTCATTTTTAATAAACTTCCAAGTGAATCTAACATAGGTGTTCCCCAGAAAAGAAACCCTTAACAACACTAAATAAGCACTAGACCACTCACCCTCCAGCAAATTGCCTTAAGAGTTAACAGGAAAATTGCATTGATGTGTATTTATTGTTCCAGGACTAATTTTATGTAACTGCAATTTTTTAAAAACAACCTAAAATTATATTTGTAAGTTATGACTCTCTCTGAAAGCCATAAAAATAAACATAAAAGCACTTATATACAAGGTGTATAATGCTGGTTACCATATAAAGTCATGCAC